ACATCAAAAGATGGACAAACATCAGTCTGAGGAAGTGTACAACCAGATGGAGAAAGAGAAAAGATAACAATAAAAGATGGACAAACATCAGTCTGATGAAGTGTACAAACAGATGGAGAAAGAGAAAAGATAACAATAAAAGATGAACAAACATCAGTCTGAGGAAGTGTACAACCAGATGGAGAAAGAGAAAAGATAACATTAAAAGATGGACAAACATCAGTCAGAGGAAGTGTACAACCAGATAGAGAAAGAGAAAAGATAACAATAAAAGATGGACAAACATCAGTCTGATGAAGTGTACAACCAGATGCAGAAAGAGAAAAGATAACAATAAAAGATGGACAAACATCAGTCTGATAAAGTGTACAACCAGATGGAGAAAGAGAAAAGATAACAATAAAAGATGGACAAACATCAGTCTGAGGAAGTGTACAACTAGATGGAGAAAGAGAAAAGATAACAATAAAAGATGGACAAACATCAGTTTAATAATGTGTACAACCAGATGGAGAAAGAGAAAAGTTAACAATAAAAGATGGACAAACATCAGTCTGAGGAAGTGTACAACCAGATGGAGAAAGAGAAAAGATAACATTAAAAGATGGACAAACATCAGTCAGAGGAAGTGTACAACCAGATAGAGAAAGAGAAAAGATAACAATAAAAGATGGACAAACTTCAGTCTGATGAAGTGTACAACCAGATGTAGAAAGAGAAAAGATAACAATAAAAGATGGACAAACATCAGTCTGATAAAGTGTACAATCAGATGGAGAAAGAGAAAAGATAAAAATAAAAGATGGACAAACATCAGTCTGAGGAAGTGTACAACCAGATGGAGAAAGAGAAAAGATAACAATAAAAGATGGACAAACATCAGTTTGATAATGTGTACATCCAGATGGAGAAAGAGAATAGTTAACAATAAAAGATGGACAAACATCAGTCTGAGGAAGTGTACAACCAGATGGAGAAAGAGAAAAGATAACATTAAAAGATGGACAAACATCAGTCTGATAAAGTGTACAACCAGATGGAGAAAGAGAAAAGATAACAATAAAAGATGGACAAACATCAGTCTGATAAAGTGTACAACCAGATGGAGAAAGAGAAAAGATAACAATAAAAGATGGACAAACATCAGTCTGAGGAAGTGTACAACCAGATGGAGAAAGAGAAAAGATAAAAATAAAAGATAGACAAACATCAGTCTGATGAAGTGTACAACCAGATGGAGAAAGAGAAAAGATAAACAATAAAAGATGGGCAAACATCAGTCTGAGGAAGTGTACAACCAGATGGAGAAAGAGAAAAGATAACAATAAAAGATGGACAAACATCAGACTGATGAAGTGTACAACCAGATGGAGAAAGAGAAAAGATAAAAATAAAAGATGGTCTGATGAAGTGTACAACCAGATGGAGAAAGAGAAAAGATAACAATAAAAGATGGACAAACATCAGTCTGAGGAAGTGTGTACAACTAGATGGAGAAAGAGAGAAAAGATAACAATAAAAGATGGACAAACATCAGTCTGATAATGTGTACAACCAGATGGAGAAAGAGAAAAGATAACAATAAAAGATGGACAAACATCAGTCTGAGGAAGTGTACAACCAGATGGAGAAAAGAGAGAAAAGATAACAATAAAAGATAGACAAACATCAGTCAGAGGAAGTGTACAACCAGATAGAGAAAGAGAGTAACAATAAAAGATGGACAAACCATGAAGTGTACAACCAGATGTAGAAGAGAGAAAAGATAACAATAAAAGATGGACAAACATCAGTCTCATAAAGTGTACAATCAGATGGGGAAAGAGAAAAGATAAAAATAAAAGATGGACAAACATCAGTCTGAGGAAGTGTACAACCAGATGGAGAAAGAGAAAAGATAACAATAAAAGATGGACAAACATCAGTTTGATAATGTGTACAACCAGATGGAGAAAGAGAATAGTTAACAATAAAAGATGGACAAACATCAGTCTGAGGAAGTGTACAACCAGATGGAGAAAGAGAAAAGATAACATTAAAAGATGGACAAACATCAGTCTGATAAAGTGTACAACCAGATGCAGAAAGAGAAAAGATAACAATAAAAGATGGACAAACATCAGTCTGATGAAGTGTACAACCAGATGGAGAAAGAGAAAAGATAACAATAAAAGATGGACAAACATCAGTCTGAGGAAGTGTACAACCAGATGGAGAAAGAGAAAAGATAAAAATAAAAGATAGACAAACATCAGTCTGATGAAGTGTACAACCAGATGGAGAAAGAGAAAAGATAACAATAAAAGATGGGCAAACATCAGTCTGAGGAAGTGTACAACCAGATGGAGAAAGAGAAAAGATAATAAAAGATGGACAAACATCAGACTGATGAAGTGTACAACCAGATGGAGAAAGAGAAAAGATAAAAATAAAAGATAGACAAACATCAGTCTGATGAAGTGTACAACCAGATGGAGAAAGAGAAAAGATAACAATAAAAGATGGACAAACATCAGTCTGAGGAAGTGTACAACCAGATGCAGAAAGAGAAAAGATAATAAAAGATGGACAAACATCAGACTGATGAAGTGTACAACCAGATGGAGAAAGAGAAAAGAGAATAAAAGATGTACAAACATCAGTCTGAGGAAGTGTACAACCAGATGGAGAAAGAGAAAAGAGAATAAAAGATGGAGAAACATCAGTCTGATGAAGTGTACAACCAGATGGAGAAAGAGAAAAGATAAAATTAAAAGATGGACAAACATCGGTCTGAGGAAGTGTACAACCAGATGGAGAAAGAGAAAAGATAAAAATAAAAGATAGACAAACATCAGTCTGATGAAGTGTACAACCAGATGGTGAAAGAGAAAAGATAACAATAAAAGATGGACAAACATCAGTCTGAGGAAGTGTACAACCTGATGGAGAAAGAGAAAAGATAATAAAAGATGGACAAACATCAGTCTGATGAAGTGTACAACCAAATGGAGAAAGAGAAAAGATAACATTAAAAGATGGACAAACATCAGTCTGAGGAAGTGTACAACCAGATGGAGAAAGAGAAAAGATAACATTAAAAGATGGACAAAAATCAATCAGAGGAAGTATACACACAGAAGGAGAAAGAGAAAATGAGGGAGATCCACTGCAGTCAGCCCTCACTGTGACTAAGCACCCGACTGAAAGACATTCTTACAAAATTATAGCAAACGTTAAGACCTGCTTTTCCCGCCTTCAGGCGTATTGGGCATACAGGGCTAGACCTTTATTTTACAGACCAATCAGCACTTAGTGGGTGCTGTGTTCGGTATCACATCTGCTGCCTTTACTCCCCAGGACTTGTTGTGTGACATGTTGTAATGATAAAATGACTGTTTGTTCAATGCTCAGCTCTTCGGAAATGACATAATAAAGTAGGCTGTGGTAAAGCATCGAAAAGGTAAATGAATGTCAGTGTTAAACATTAATTTAATGAAAACTACCTAATGTTCTTTCGAGACTAAGCTTCCCCACTCAACAACGCTAAGAATGCCAGTAAATAGGCGTAACTACAGTCAATCTGATTTTTAAAAAATGGGTTTTCCTGTTCTATGTTTAGGTTGTCGGTTGTTTGTTGTCTAGAATTATGTATGTTGATAAAGACTCTTTATCTTAATAGAAATATCGATTGTGTAAGTTTTTTTTTTTTTAACGTACTTTTCCTTCATGAAAACTTTCTGACTAAAGTTTGAATTGTATTTAGTTACTGCTAAAAAATACCAAACTAGTTCTGATAACAAAAGAAATGACTGAATTATTCCCTCACCGATAAAACAGCACATCGGTCATCCCTAAATGTACTCCGCCCCTTTCTTTAGTAGCCAAAGAAGAGATCATATTCTGAAAGTGGCAATATCAACCAGATTTCAAGTGTTTCCTTTCCCCCTAATGAGTTCACTGTCGTCTACTCTGAATCTGTCTCGCCAGGTCTGTTCGCTGCATCATAACAGTGGAAGCTAGCAAGAGGTTAACTCTTTCACGCCACTAGCGCAACAGGCACAAGTCACGAAGCTATCTTTAGACAAATCGACACCTGATAGTGGATGTAGTAAACATCACACCAGCCGCCTTTACTTCCCATGAAAGTTTCTGGTACTAATTTTAGACCGAGTCAGCCTAGAAGCCAAGATGAATTATTAAGAAAAAAATATTCCAATTTGCCTTGGCGTGTAATTCAGTCCCTTCGAGTAGAAGCTTTCATTATCAACCAGAACATCCAGCGTGGTAGTCGTGACGGCAAGTCTGAAAGTATCTCTTTCTCTGGGTAATTCTCCAGCCCTGTGTGCTTTCTTCTTCTTCTGCCTTTCTAGCTCCCAATGGAGTATAGGTCCTCAACAAACTCACTCCCAAGTGGTTCTTTCCTTTGCTATTGGATGCAGATCTCCCCATCTTTCTGACTGACTGGCTGACTTTTTACCCCACCAGGACATCACACCAACGATAAACACCCGATGACACAATGTGCCACCATGCGGGTGAGGATCACTGTGGAGAGGTCCCAGAAACCGCATTCAGTCCTTAGGCCATAGTTATGGCCAGGCTATATTGCGGTCCCTGGCAAGAGCCAGAGCAGGGCTTCAAATAACGAAAAATGCATCCTAAAAAGGACGAGAAAAATAATACCCCATCTTTCTAACTTTAGGTGTATTAAATACTGTTGATAGAATAGTGGTTACAATAGATCGGTCATCACAATTTTGTTTCCATGACTGCAGAGTAGGATCGACTGAGATAGGATTGAGGATGAGATGCGTAGGAAATGTGTTGGATACTGTTGTCTTCCAGCCCCAAGGTACTGGTGCTGTGATGATAGTGATGGTGGTCAGAATGCTGGACAGCTCGCTGGTGGTGACGCGGAAGCTGAGGGTGATGGTGCGGTGAGTTGTTTGAGCCCGATGACCCGAAAGATGACGACGGCCTGACAGCAGTATCGTCGCAGAATGAAAGATTGATTTCACCAGGGTTGAACGCGCTATGACGTCTGACTGAGTCAACGTTAGGTACTCCAGGCAGGTATATACCCGTGTGATAAGCGATGTTGCTGTCGGAATGAACACAGTGACGCATGGGTGGCTGGCCTCCTGGGCCGAGATAAAATTTGCCGGTAGTTCCACAATCAGGGGTCAAGGAAAGGTGAAGGCTGCTCGGATCTGGAACCTGTAGTAAGTATGGAGTCGGTGAAAATGATAAAAAGTTTTTATTGCTTTCGTTTGAGCACGTTGGACTATGTTCTTCTTCTGGTAAATTAACTGAGAACGGAATATCGGCAGATAGGCATCTTTGTTGGCTGTTGGTACCTACTGGGGATGTACTGGACAAAAAGTCATTGTTGTAGTTCCAGTCACCCAAACTACGGTAATGATCAAAGAGTTCACCATGTCTGGCTTGACTCACCAAGACGTTATCACCACATCTTCCATGGCGACGACGGAATATCTCATCGTTGCTGTGGAAATGAGTGTCTTGTTCTCTCTTACTTTCCTTCCTAGGATACACAAATGAACACTGTTGATGGGTTATACTACACGGGCTGGTAGATCCGGAACTGATTTTTCGATATTCATCGTTATATCTGTTGATGTCTTGGCGGTTCCAATTAAAGAAACATTGGCTGCGTTTTCTGCCGTCGTATGCTGGCGATAGAAAATGTGGCGAGGGAGGTTTAGGAGAACCAGGTAAGGGTTTTTGTATAGGGGGACCTTGATTGGAGGCTAACAATAAATCTGTAGAGGAGCAGGAACTAGCTGAAGTGTTGCTATCGCGTTGCGGACCACGTCTGGATGTGGACTGTGAGTTCTGAATCATAATTGTAGGTGTGAATGGAATAGGCACCGGAGAGCGATCTACGTTGGGTATTTTTACAAAAGAAAGATTCTCTTTTGCGTCAGGAATTTGTATTGTCAATTTTGGAGGTATTTTCTTTTTCTTACTCCTAGATTTATCTATACGATAGCTAACACCAGAAAGACTTTTCCGATGACTGCTTTGGAATTTTGTCATTATACCTTTATCAATAAGTGAAAAGTATTCACCATGATCCCTTTCGTGATAATGTTTGTTTCTTTTCCTTTTGGCATTAATGAGATCTTTGATAGTTTTATAGCTTGCCTGGTTAAGGACAGCATCATAGGCACTTAAGATCTGATTGGACAAAGGGCTCGATAACGTTGGCAGACTCTTACTCCATGAATAAGGCATTTCTAAGAGAGGTAGCTGCTGCTGGGATCTTGAACACACATTTGGACAGCTACAGGGTTTGTTCAATGCTAGGGGACCACGACTTTTAATTGCGAACATTAGGCTGGCAAAGTCTTTGTGACTTATAGTCTGCAAAGGCGTGTGGCGCACCCAGTAAGCAGTAGCTGTGGGAATATCAACCTCCGATCTCGGTAACTGAAGAAGTCTTTCATGTTGTTCGGAATAGGAATGTTGGTGGTAGTAATTTAAATGCTGCTGAGACCCTACATGACTAGGGTGAGGAAAGCGGAAGACCAAGTCATCTTCATTAATCCCAGCTTCGGGGAGAGAATATGGACTTAAACAATCATGGTCACCGGATTTACCATAATGCTGCTCATAGGCTAGAGGTGACTGTGTCGGGGATTCATCGATCACAATGCTTGGGTTAATTAAAGCTCGTACCATCGTAGGGTTAACTCCTCCACAGAAATCTATGTCGCTGTCTGAATTCTTGGGATCCAGCTCCTCCTCTTCCCCAAAATTCTTTTTAATAAGTCGAATAACGCACTTTCGAATTTTTGTCCTATAGATCACATACAGGACTAGCCAGACAAGAATGCCGCCAAGTACAGCCGCGGTGTGCAGTCCAATAGAAGGGTCGTACGACTGGTAAAACTGGCGACTCAGCTGCTCATAACTGACAGAGGTGGTATTGTAAACAAGGTCGCTACTGTTGCTTGCTATCAAATCTGAGTTGCCGATATTGCTGTTGAAGGCATCAGCTTTTACGTGGACCACCAGTGTGCCGTTGTCGGATGAGATAAGAGTGCTGAAAATGATAAAAGTAATATACAATAATTAACCCAAACGAAACATTAAAGGGTTGGCTGGTTCGTTGGTTAAAAATCTTATGGCGGTCTATGTGTTTTAAGTGAGCCTCGAGAAGCAGTGGGTAAGAAGTGTTGGCATTAACCATCTAACAAGAAGGGACCAGGCCACCATCTTCAGACTTAGAACGCAACATAATCCACTCAATGGACACCTAAACAGAATACAGCCACAACACTCCCCAGAGTGCCAGCTATGTAACTACCCCTACGAAACTGTTGAACACCATCTCTTTGAGTGCCCAAAACTCAGTGAGACAAGAAGAACGCTACTCCCTCCGAGACCAGACAAGTGGAACACCTTGTACGGAGGAAAAGAACAGCTTGTGAAAACATGCAAATTCCACTACATGGCATTGGGCCAAAGGGCGAAAGCTCATGCGCCGCTGGATCGATAACAACAACAACAACAAGAAGTGTTGGTGTTGTGGGTAGTGGTCCCCCCACCCCCTTTTACTTCACCCTAGGTCTAGTGAATATCTATTCACGAAAGGAGCGTCCATTGCGGTGTCAGCCTCTTGACCTAGCAAAACCTCTCTTACCTCAAGACCATTGTGCGTGGCGAAGAGTTACAGCCTGCCCGAGGTAGTCTTGGTAACTGGGGTGCGAATCCCCAGGCAAAACACAATTTATCTAGAGGAGCAAACCTCGATAATTAAACCAGGTGCACCACACCGTACTGCCCCCTGTGAGAGGGAAGGAGCCGGAGGTGTGCTGAACAGTCTTAGGAATGGAAACAAGTATGCTAACTCCCCTGAATACCGGAAACTATCGTGAAGGCACAGGGACTCAGGACGTGACGATCCAGTTGCCCCAACTACTCATGCTTAGGCCATGCTTAGAGCCAAGAAGAGCGCAGCGAAACCAACAGGCAATATGGTGGCGGGGAATGAGCACACTGTGAGCACCACCTTAGCTACGTGTTAAAGTGGAAGGCAGAAACACAACCCATATTTCCTTTAGCACTGGTACAGGGCATTTCTAGCTGCTGCCCGGGGAGGTAAGTAATCCACAGACACACCAGCAGTGGGCCAAAGGGCGAAAGCTCATGCTCCGCTAGATCGATAACAACAACAACAACTCCAAGTCCAGCGCATTGGTGTTCAAGTGGTCTAATTACCGCGAAAAAAAAAATTGTATGTATCTATCGCAGCTAGGTTAACGTAGAACCCATTCTACCTGGTTAAGTACCACCCATAGGCACCGATACTTGGGGATTCAGGTCCCCTACGCCCCACTCATTTCCACTTTTTTTGTGGGTGGGGAGTTGGGGCGGGGGGTCTTTATGACTTCTGATCCCCGGCATTAGTCTGCTCTCCTACTATAACCTGGCAGTTGAACGGGGTTTTCAGGACTTGTGCCCGGGGAATAATCATTCGAACCTAGCAGTTGAACAGGGTTTTCAGGACTTGTGCCCTGGGAATACTCATTCGAATGGTGATGCTTTGTGTCACTGGGTGTTTGTTCCTCTTTGTGCGATCCTCGTGAGGCTGAACGTCACACATTCCCTTCCCCTGAGTATGCACATATGTTCTCTTTTTAAAGTCTCTCTCTCTCTCTCTCTCTCTCTCTCTCTCTCTCTCTCTCTCTCTCTCTCTCTCTATATATATATATATATATATATATATATATATATATATATATATATATATATATAATCAACTTAATCCAGTAAGTACGTAAATTAAAGTTAAAGGTGAGAGGATCAACTTCAAAAAATGGTCGCGACCGGCAGGTTGAGAACCGCTAGTCTACCCAGTTATGAGTAGCAGTACATGTCCGATCTATTCGCAGAAGTTAAAACAGGAAATTGAAGATGCAGTGGCTGTGAATGGATACCAAGCTGGAGAACTGGCTAGAGAAAGAGATACCTTTAGGCGTGCCGTAAAGAGGGCCACGTCCCGTACATGACATGATGATTGTGATGAAAAAGTTGAGTGAAATCAGTAAACCTACCCTGTGCTGGCGTTGAAGTAGGCAGGGTGTGGAAGCTGCTGTGGCGTCGTTGGAGGCGTGGTAAGCATGACCTCAGTCGTCTGCTCCTGCTCATGCTGATGAGATGAGCTGTCATCAGTGACTCCAGGCTTTTGCATCACTTCATGGACCTGCAACAACAATAAGATCATGAGCATACTCCAAGGAAACCAATCAGATCTGATAATACACCCAGGCAGTCAATCAGATCATGAGCATACACCTGAGAAACCAATAAGAACATGAGCATACACAAAGGAAACCTATCAGAACACGAGCATACACCAAGAAAACCAATCATATCATGAGCATTCATCAAGGACCTCGATCAGATCATGAGCATAAACCAAGGAAACCAATCAGATGATGAGCATACACCAGGGAAGCCAATAGATCATGAGAATACACCAGGGAAACCAATCAGCTCATGAGCATACTCCAAGGAAACCAATTAGATCATGAGCATATCCCAAAGAACCCAATCAGATCATGAGCATACTCCAAGGAAACCAATCAGCTCATGAGCACATTCCAAGGAAACCAACCAGCTTATGAGCATACTCCAAGGAAACCAACCAGCTCATGAGCATACTCCAAGGAAACCAATCAGCTCATGAGCACATTCCAAGGAAACCAACCAGCTCATGAGCATACTCCAAGGAAACCAACCAGCTCATGAGCATACTCCAAGGAAACCAACCAGCTCATGAGCATACTCCAAGGAAACCAATCAGCTCATGAGCACATTCCAAGGAAACCAACCAGCTCATGAGCATACTCCAAGGAAACCAACCAGCTCATGAGCATACTCCAAGGAAACCAACCAGCTCATGAGCATACTCCAAGGAAACCAATCAGCTCATGAGCACATTCCAAGGAAACCAACCAGCTCATGAGCATACTCCAAGGAAACCAACCAGCTCATGAGCATACTCCAAGGAAACCAACCAGCTCATGAGCATACTCCAAGGAAACCAATCAGCTCATGAGCGTGCTCTAAGGAAAGAGCTTACATTTCAGGTTTCAGAGATCCGTGTATGTGTTCTGCGGCATAGTTCTTGGAAACAAAGAAAAAAAAAAAAGAAAAAACAATAGCTCCCTAACAAGCATATCGTACAAGGCGACTAATTAGGGCAGGATTTCTTCAAAGTTGGAGTACAGCTGAATGAGAGTCATGGAACCACCAGTCTGCATACAAATACGCCAAATTTATAAAACAGTTGTGCAAGCAGAACTCAAGATATATCTTTCCAAAATCTAAAACAAGAAATGGACGAATACCCATAATATTCGGCCGATGTTTTACAGCCGGTGAACGCTAATAATAGTGATAAGATTTCAAAGAAATGTCAACTCTGAATTGGGGGAGGGAAGATGGGACACACACACACACATACACACCCACACACACCCACGCACGCACACACACGCACACACGCGCCGCACACACACGCACGCACACATACAAATAACTAACACCAGTTCGTCTTATTGTTTCATTTAAAACATGCACCACACGCTATGGACTGGTTTAGTTTGGTGGGTTTATACAACAGATCAACAGCATGGCACAAGGGTAGTAATCCAAAAGTGCTCCGTTATACTTGTAACTCAAGCATGAGTCCCAAGAATGTCAACACAGTGCACAAACTCCCTAGCACTGACGAGGATCCTGAACTACTTTGGGTAGATTTTTAACTGCAAATTTTGCCCGGGCAGCATCGTTAGGCGACTCTTTTCGATTTCCAACTGCCAGGGGATTTTTTTACGTGCGCAACAATACACACGGGAGTCCGATCTTAACACCCAGAGACCGTGGGAAAATACTAGAAGTCCACATGCAAAAAATTCCAGCCCCTACCAGGTTCTGATCCTCCAGCACTCGAGGCGGACGCAATGCCTGGAAACCACTCAACGCCTGACCTCACATTGTCCTTCCCAACTTTTTAACTTTACCCTTTAGCTGCTCCTTTCTCTAGTGTTTTCTTTATAATTCCCATGACTCTGTAGGTTTTTACTTTATTATCATCATGTTTCCTTCCTCAACCTTTCTGTTCCTAGCTATCGAACTCAGAAGCTCTTCCATTTCCAAAACAGCTTGCACCTCAACAGGAAAATTTTCTCAAACAGTTTACCAAATGTATTCTTAGTGTAACAACCATGACGCCGCTAGGTCTTGAATTTTCTCTGTAGGTGGGAGCTTTGATGGGGAAAACAAATCGTCACTTTCAACCAACATCCCCGAAGGGGAGCTTTAGATTATAATTGTGACTAGGTCATATGCGCCACATAAAAATGGCTTAGAAAGGCACACCAACAGGAGCCCTGCAAAGAACTCCTGCAGTGTGAATGGAATCACAGGATACAGACCCAAATACAGTCCCAACGTCTACAGGCCAGCCAATGGGCAACCCGGTCACCCATGTAACGGTGGTTTTAGTAAGTCGATTTATACACAGTCATGTAGTACAGGTGTATTCTGATGCTCTGGATAAAGTGGAAAAGCCATCTCCACAAATCATCCACACTCATGTCCTTCACGTGGGCATACCTAACTCCATCTGGTATTATTGTTATTGTTGTTGTTGTTGTTACTCATAGTAATATATTGAACATGAGAACGATGATGTGTGAATACAAGAAATACTTGTGAAGATGGTATGATGTCAAAATAATATTATATGACAATTAGTCTGAAAACGCTGAGATATGAAGAATGAGACGGAGACGCCACACTTTTAGAATTATAGAAACTTTCAGCAAACAAACCACAAACCACACTGGTATTGATTTATAGAGACAGTCGTAATTGCGGAATATATTACTTTATCCCTCTCCCCCTTTTTCCTTGATTGCATCGTTTGTAAATGTCGAACGAATACAACTGTGTTTTTTTTTTTCCTTTCAGCGTTTTGTCTATCAATTACTTAGTGGGAAATGTAGGGCGGATGTGGATTTAGGAAAGGTTAACTCTTATACTACACACACACACACACACACACACACACACACACACACACACACACACACACACACATACACACACAAACACAATATTTTGTGGGGGAAAACAAAACAATAGACCCAGTGTCTTTGCAACAATCATGTCGTAAGAGCTGAATGATAATGGGTTTTCTTCGAAGTCATAGCGCACCTGCATCAAAGGTAGGGAGGAACTAGCCTGCGTACACAATAGCCAGATCTCTAAAACGCATGTGTACACAATAGCCAGATCTGTAAAACGCATGTGTACACAATAGCCAGATCTCTAAAACGCATGTGTACACAATAGCCAGATCTGTAAAACGCATGTGTACACAATAGCCAGATCTGTAAAACGCATGTGTACACAATAGCCAGATCTCTAAAACGCATGTGTACACAATAGCCAGATCTCTAAAACGCATGTGTACACAATAGCCAGATCTGTAAAACGCATGTGTACACAATAGCCAGATCTCTAAAACGCATGTGTACACAATAGCCAGATCTGTAAAACGCATGTGTACACAATAGCCAGATCTGTAAAACGCATGTGTACACAAAGCTGAAGCTCTAGAGCGAGACTACAGTCCAGATACGGACCAACAATCATAAATAAGTTTCGGCTATAGTTGACAGCCGATGAACGCCAAGAAGAAGATTTGTAGGAGATTATAACTTTTCAGAGCTTGCAGTACTCAAGAAACATAAGCAAAGATTTCATAGTTTGGTGGTCAGAGTAAAAAAAATGCTTTTTCATCTTTCTAAATTGTCACAGTTAAACATTTTTCGCCTTTGTGCGGAAATTCTGGTCATCATATATCAATACGAGAGTGATACAGAGAGTGAATGAAACTAGAGAAGGTCAAAATGTAAGTCACAAATGTTCTTTAAAAACTAAAGACGATAACAACTTGAAAACCGATTAGTCTTACACACACACTGTCCCCTTTTTAAAAAACAAAAATACAATTTTTACCAACATTGATTTATTTGTCCCATCGTTTTATCAGCCTTGCCGAAGCAGCTGTATAGAACTGCGTGATCTATTTTCTAAACCACATATTTACTGTACATTAAACTTCTGCGTCATTCGCGAAATGACTCCCGCCAGAATGGGTCTTTAAGAAAAGTTTGTTTTTTTTAAACCCAACTGTGCACCGCTTTACAGGATACATTTTTGTCAGCATAAACAGGAACCATTTCCTCGTGGATGTCCTTTTTAGGCAGCTTTTTTTTGCCCCCAGCCCCTCCCCCCCCCCCCCCACACACACACAAAAACCGCATAACAGCACGTTGTTTTTTGAGGGTACACGCCGTAAGTACAGTGGCCATTGTTTTTCTATGTTGCGAATACGCATGAAACACCTAGTGCCACAAAGTTCGATGTTGCTGACACCTTATGACACCTTTAAAAACCACCAACTACACTTTCCTGCCATCCCATAACTATTTGACTAACTTATTGACTTCCTCTCGTATCATTAGACAAAGTAGAATTTCGTTAAAAACTGATCTTTGCGAATCAGCCTCTTTCTGGGTCGGAGCAGACTCCGAAACCTCACAGCCATGCCTTTCTATATTGAAATTGCTTTATCTGATGATCAAATTCTAAAGGTTAAAATTGATTAAATTATTGATTTGATTAGGCTTCATCACACTTGACGTAATCCTTTAGTAATCATATCTCCTCCTTTTTGGTGTAAGAGTGTTTTAGATCTCACATCAGATTGGTAGTTTTGAACAGGAAGCACGTTCAAGCCGGTATGTTCAACTTCATGCACCCGATTTTAATGCAGATGGGTTAGTCTCTATCCTCAGAAGGATTAGACGCTTGTTGGATGCTTTGCACAAAGAACGATATCCGGCGACGATCCCCCTGGGGTCTTTATAAAAACTGAACTCGTTAACCGTTCAATGCAGTTCGTGATAAGGCACCATAATATTAAAAGAACGAGAAAAAAGGATTTCTCACATCGCCATGGAGGAACACGTAAGACGTATCAATGGCTGCTTCACTGCACTCGGTTTTTATTTCAAATGGCTTAGTCTCTCTTTTCAGAACAGCTAGACCTTGCTGGATGCTTCCATAACATTTAATGAGCAAGAAAACCGGCTGAGTAGTGCTCGGCGGAGAAACCCGAAAGATGTCTCAATGACTAGGATTCCTCAATTAAGAAAAGAAAGGTAATGAAGGATTATATGCGAGAATATCCATTTGATTGTAAGAGGTTTAATCTCAGCTCACTCCGTTTTTACAGAACGGCAGTGTACCTTCGGAGAGCGTCGCACAAAGCACTTACTCAGTAGCTCTAACAATAATTCTCATGGAATCCGAAATAAAAAGGCACTAATCAACTGACATTCAGAGTCAGAAAACAAACTCACGGCATTCAAAATGAATGAATGAATGAATGAATGAATGAATGAATGAAGTTAAGCCACTGCACTCGGGACATTCCCACACCTGCTCTGTCCACATCCTCAGTCGCCAACGAAGAGTTCCAACGACATTAGGAGCGTAGATCAATCGACTGGCTTACTTCGCCCCCAACTCCAATGCAAGTACAGCACTATCATACATTCTGAATATATACTGATGTAGATTACTTTTCTTAACATTTATATTTAGTCATAAAAGGGTCAAATTTATAGATCTACGATTCCAGACTACCGACTGATTTTTAAACGTAAACAGTGAGTGTAGTTAAATCCCAACTACAACGAGCGATAAACACCCTATGACACCAATGCCACCATTCGAATGATTATCACCCAGGCACAAGTGCCAGACACCCAGTTCAGCTGTTAGGGTATATTGGGCACACGACGTCAACCGGTGTGGGGCTTATGAAATAAAAAATTAATTAAAAAAACACTGGGTCTTATATTGAGACGTTCTTTGCTTTACACATGGTAGGTAGGTAGTTGTACCCCACCCAGGCATCACACAAGCGATACACACCCGGTGACACAAAGTGCCACCATGCGGATGAGGATCACACGTGGAGAGGTCGCAGAGACCCCTCTCAGCCGTTAGGTCATATCTATGGCTAGGCTATATTTATGCCCCGCCTATATTCAGGGCCCCCGGCAAAAGCCAGGGTGGGACTTCAAATAACAACAAATTGTAAAAAGCGTTCCTGTGTTGAGATGGCTGTGGCACAAACTTACTGGCATCCATGGTGTCCTATTGCAGCGACAATATACATCAAAGTCCACGATAGATAAGCACAACACACTTTTCAACGTGGACTGTTTAATAACTTTTCCTAGACGCGTACCCTCATCTGTCCACGGTCTCTAATACGTCTAGGGTTGGAAAACAGGGTCTTGACTCTTCATCAAACATCACATTTGGTATCACTGCTTACAGTGGTTATTCTTTAGCAATAAATTTTCATTTTCACACTCACAAGGTTTTTTTTAAATTCTTTCACCCTTCTTATCATCCGTTCATTGCCACGCACTTTCGTATCATAGCTCAGCTAAGTGCCAGGCTAAGCATGGTGTTTGTCTTTTCTTTCATAGGGCCTTCTTACGCCCCGCCTCTTACACACAATCTATGCTACATAGATGTTAATCGAATACGTCATAAAGCATATCATTAGACTGTGGCAGAGTGCCAAAGAAGATCTGTTTATTTTGGTGGGACTACACTCACTGACTAAAAATCTGGCCGGTTACAGGTTCAAGAAGTTGATAAAAGGGCTTGCACTGGGCTTTGCGCGCTGCCGCCAAGAAACAAAATGTCAGCAGAGCCGACAAAAGCACAGTTACCAAAGCGGTAGTGATGCAGCACCAGGCAAGGATGACACATCCAGCTAAAAACGAAGAACTAAACAATGAAACACCTACCAGACAGCCAGCCACCTCACGCGGAAGCCAGAAAGCAGCCACCGATGTAACTTGCGAGGCCGACCTTCAGGCGATGCTTGAAGACTTCAACAAGCAAGTGGACCCGCACAAGCTAGTGTTCGACGACGAAAGCAAGCGCTACTATATCGAATACAAATGGGAAGAGCTCGAGAAGAAAGACCGAACACCAGAAAAAATAGAAAAGCGCGAAAAACTTGACAAATTCTATGACGAACTAAATGCAGCACTGATCTAACTTCACGCGGAATAGAAAAAACAGTGGAAAATGGCACACCCAATAGAAGAGACTACCGCCAATTCTAAAAAGCCAAGCAAACAAGCCGTCATCTTCATGGACAGCCCAAACAACAACCGCCAACCAGATAGACAGCCACGATATGACCCCGCCCATCCCGTTGCAGGCCGCCCCAGGCAATTGGTAGCCCTTCTTAGGGCTGCCCCCCATCCACTCCCAAAAAGACGGACTACACCAGCCAAGCCCGATTAAGCAAACAGAACGCAGCAGCAAACACTCGAACTTAGGCGAAAATGATCGCCGCAAGGAAACAAACCAAAATCAAACAGCAAAGAAACTGTCCTCAATAAAGCAGGCCAGCAGGCAGCTGAAAGAGGACCAAATTTGAAATTTTTTTGTTTTATAATCCAATTTCCATTTTCCACTTTGCGCACTCTCTCGGTGTGTTCTAGGCTGGCCGTGGTCAGTTGCCCAGTGGTAGCTGATGTTGATTGCACATGGTCTCATCGCAGCACAGGAGCAATAGATGGAGCCGAAGTAGAGAGTGTGGCTCGTTGATTAGAGCTGTAATATGTTTTATGGTTAGTTTCGGTCTTAGATATTCATTTTCTCCAGTAGTTAAACTGTGTAGACCTAGATATTCAGTGTGTATTATCGCTAGGGGATTTAATTTGAGTTCAAGTCACTAAAAGCGGACGTTCACTTTTGTTAGCTGGGGTGCTTGATGCGTGGCCTGTATAGATACGAATCTGGTTGTTAATGTATTGTTATTTGTGAACCACGTTAGTTTTGTGTTCAGTAAAATAAACAGATGTTGAATGTGATGAATATATTCATTTGCTTGATTCAAGACAAAACTTGTAGTCCTTGCACGTGGTTTACTAGCCTTGCCTATGTATTAATATGTAGTTGAAGTCAGTTGATGTTGTTGTGTAAAACAATTATTCACATACCCTTTATTAGGGATTTGATGGTCATATTTCATGGCCCCTGCACAGAAAAACCCTTGTCTTTTTTTTTTCTTTTACATTTTCTGTTTTTGCTTTTTATTGTCCTTACCCCATTTTCTTTTCATCATCTCCCTTTTTCTGTTTTTTGTTGAAAACTTTTCCCGCTAGCACAATACTACCCCACCTCTCTGAATCCCTTTCTGTCCAGTATCTTACTCCTGCGATGACAAGTCAGCTCAGCTACTTTACTGTTCAATCGTGAATGGAGATTATGTGCCTCAACATAATGATAAGTGATTTTATGAATTCGTCTTCTTTTTTTCAATTGCCATTTACTGGTACCAGGCTGCAACCAATGTTGTGGTCTTCTGTATTTGTCTTGCGCTTCTCGTGTGGCTTGTGTGATAGCTTTTAATAATTATGTTATGTAATTGTATCATTGTCCTTTGAAAGCGATGCTGATGAAGGCATTCTAGCTGCAACGTGAATTTTATGCGTCGTGATTATGGTTTTTGAACCTGGCAATTTCTTATTCTCGCCTCGATTTATTTTACTTGAATTTTTCATAATTGTACCACTCAAATAATAGGACCACACATGGAAATCCAGTAAGCTTATCTAGGATATCCTGTTCATTCTACAAGGAATTCATAACTACACATCCATGACGGATACATCAGTATTTTACTATCGTATCCTGCTGTCCTGTACGGGTAAAAACACACAAAAAATATTAAAAATAATATATTTCCATTTTAGATTGAGCACATACAAGATTGTTACATCTCACTCCCTCCTTTTCTCTCTCCCTCCCACACCCTCCTTCCTTTTTTTGTTCTCTGTTCTTCTTCCTCTTTCGTATTAATTAACTTCGATTTACAGAGGAAGAAAAGTACCAGTAAGTGGAGACAGGAACTCGTGTGTTTATGTCCCAGTTCCAGATCGCAATGCTGGCTATCCACTTTCCTTGGATCAGAGAGATTCAACATCCTCTGGGTTCCTCGGTTTGTAAACATAGTCGTCTGCGTCTTACAAGATAAGGAACGCAGAAGGAAACTAATTTATAAACATTGTTGGGTTGAAATACCATGCTGAAAGTCACAAACTTGAGTGCCGGAACTTGTGAGATATGCACATGGAGGGTTCCACGCCTACAATATTTAGGGGTCTAAGCTGCCCCCACCCCACAATACATATAGACGTTCACTTAGATGGTTGTACATCCACATTATCACTCGCCGCGGTTCGGAAGTTCGTGGGTTCGTTTCCTGGTGGAGCCGGACTTTTTTCAAAAAATGACCTTTGCTCCCAGGTCGACCCAGCCTAGAGTGGGTACCATGTGCAGTCCCAGGAAGTAAAGGCGGCCGGCGTGATGCTGAGCATATCACGCATCTTGTGCCGATTAGTCTATAAAATATAGGCCTATACGCATAAAGGTGTGGAAAAGGGTCCTTTACTTTACATCTAGATTTTTACAAATATATTACTATATCAATTTTCCATTCAGCACAGTATTATTATTATTATTATTATTATTATTATTATTATTATTATTATTATTATTATTATTATTATCATTATTATTAAACTGACTCGCATAGATAACTGAAAATCCACATCCGAAAGAGACAATCAACAATATGTCACAAGGAAGAGAAAACTCGTTTTATCGTGACACTGTGAAAGGTGGAGGGAAAAAGAGGCAAAGGAAGACCGAGAAAGAACATGCCGGACAGTCTGACATCATGCCGTGGAAGATCTTCTGTGTCAGAACTGATCGAAAATACACAAGGCAGAAGGTTGTGAACTGACGTGACTACCAGCCGACACGTCATGAATTATAAGGAGAAAATTGTTAATGATTGTTATTATAAGATTGTTATTGTTATTATTGTAATCGTTTATTTAAACAAGCACCCAGATGTTTTCTTTATGTCAGCGCCCTTGATTCACAATGGTTTAGAGAGAACAGAGGTGAAAGGTAAGATTCCTTCAAGAAAAGCCAAGAGTCGATGAAAACAACATTACGTTGGAGACACAATATAAAAGCCAACGTCGTTAGTTCACCTTGTATCTTTTCTACCTTAGGATATGCCCGGCTCTCTAGCGTAGTTGGCTAAACCGGACTGCGCGGTAACCGGGGGACTAACTCCTTGTGCTCCGGGTTCACTCCCGGGGGTAGACAGAAAAGCCACATTTTTTCCCAGATTTAAGGTACCTATCATGGAATCAAGGCCGAAGGGTTGCGATTTCTATAGTACCCAGCCAAAGGATTAACAACTCATGGTTTCTGGATATAAAAATAAACAAACTACCTTAGGATATTAAGACGAAGTACGAGAGAGGTAGAAGGAGGGTTGGCGGGAGAGGAAGACAGAGGGAGGGAGAAAGGCGGGCATGAGAAAATAAGGGTGGGGGAGAAGGCGAGGGAGAGAAAGAGACTTTTGTGTATTTCCAAAATTTGAATTTCAAGGGACTTGGCCATGGTCGGCCTCTCTAAAGATTTCCTCTAGCATATATGTTATTGTCCATTGTGGCATAGTCTGCTGACAGATGCGTTACATGACCGAATCATTTCACTTGTTTTATAATGAAATAAGCACTACCACTATCCCCACAATTTCTTTCCCAGGTCAACAATTATTTTATTTTCCCTGCTCTTCTTTCTTTCTTTCTTTCTTTCTTTCTTTCTTTCTTTCTTTCTTTCTTTCTTTCTTTCTTTCTTTCTTTCTTTCTTTCTTTCTTTCTTTCTTTCTTTCTTTCTTTCTTTCTTTCTTTCTTTCTTTCTTTTTCTTTCTTTCTTTCTTTCTTTCTTCTTTCTTTCTTTCTTTCTTTCTTTCTTTCTTTCTTTCTTTCTTTATTTCTTTCTTTCTTTCTTTCTTTCTTTCTTTCTTTCTTTCTTTCTTTCTTTCTTTCTTTCTTTCTTTCTTTCTTTCTTTCTTTCTTTCTTTCTTTCTTTCTTTCTTTCTTTCTTTCTTTCTTTCTTTCTTTCTTTCTTTCTTTTCTTTCTTTCTTTCTTTCTTTTCTTTCTTCTTTCTTTCTTTCTTTTCTTTCTTTTCTTTCTTTCTTTCTTTCTTTCTTTCTTTCTTTCTTTCTTTCTTTCTTTCTTTCTTTTTCTTTCTTTCTTTCTGGCTGGCTGGCTGGCTGGCTGGCTGGCTGGCTGGCTGGCTGGCTGGCTGGCTGGCTGCTGCTGGGCTGGCTGGCTGGCCGGCCGGCCGGCCGGCCGGCCGGCCGGCCGTCCGTCGTCCGTCCGTCCGTTCCGTCCGTCCGTCCGTCCGTCCGTCCGTCCGTCCGTCCGTCCGTCCGTCCTTCCTTCTTTCTTTCTTTCTTTCTTTCTTTCTTTCTTCTTTCTTCTTCTTTCTTTCGTTCTTTCTTTCTTTCTTTCTTTCTTTCTTTCTTTTCTTTCTTTCTTTCTTTCTTTCTTTCTTTCTTTCTTTCTTTCTTTCTTTCTTTCTTTCTTTCTTTCTTTCTTTCTTTCTTTCTTTCTTTCTTTCTTTCTTTCGTTCTTTCGTTGTTTCTTTTTTTCTTAAAACACAATGGGTATAGAAGTAAACGTTGCAAGACACTGGTCAGTTTTCGATTAATCGAGGTCCAACTTCTTTGCAGTTGCCATAGCTGCCCCGTTCCTGTTGCATGCAAAATGTCCTTCGATGTCCCATTTGAAAAACTAGTGATAAACATAAGCTCGCGCAAGCAATGTGAGGCAGCTATCAGATGTGCCCACACTAACAGTTCGCCACAAGAATTGCAGCTGTTGATGTAAGCAGACAAAAACGAAAGTGGCATAGCACCTGTAATAATGTACAAGTAATATTGCACTTTTTTCCGAACGTAATTGGCCATTCATCATTTTTGGTGCAGTTTAAAAAAAAAAAAACATTCGACACGAATTCCACATCTCAGTGTCGCACCAAGCACTCAGCTTAACAGCTGGGAGACGGGGCATTTGCAATCTTTGTCCAGGTTTTAAAACTCTGCATCAGCAAACCGTGGTTAGAAACAAAGAATCAGCGGGAAAGCTGGCTATTTGCCATATTAGACCGGAAGTCTGCAGGAAACTAACAAAGGTGATGGCCGTTTCATGAACGATTTATCATCATTATGAACATCATCATCATCAGCATAATTATAAAGTGTATTTTTGAAGAAAGTAGACTTCTGATAATATAGGTATTTCCAAATTTAATCTATGAGACTTACGTTATCAAGATAGCTTTACTTTCACTCTTTTAGTACCAGGCGGTCGCTACTCAAATACGATCACAAAGTGTATGTACAGGAGAGCTGTTTATATACATCCAATTCACTTTACGTGTGTTTGATGAGTTAACATAATATAGCATGGTGATATAGGGGCAACCTCATGAGGAGATAGAAACACAGAATAACTAAACTGGCTCTGAAATGAGAACCAGACAGAATGTCGTAAAACCCCCCACTAATTTAGGGAGTTCCTTCGTGTTGTGTGAACCTGCCTAGAACACAAGGAACCAACTTAATGCACACAAATAAATCACATCTGTAAGACGGTTGTGCACTTAAAATTCAAGTTGTCGAACGAGTCCAAGACTAGGAATGATGAACAACCAGAACGTTACGCCGGAGTTTACACACGGTGAACACTAAGCAGAAGAAGAAGAAGAAGAAAAAGAAAAAGAAGAAGAAGAAGAAGAAGAAGAAGAAGAAGAAGAAGAAGAAGAAGAAGAAGAAGAAGAAGAAGAAGAAGAAGAAGAAGAAGAAGAAGAAGAAGAAGAAGAAGAAGAAGAAGAAGAGAAAAAGAAGAAAAATCAGAAAAAAGAAGAAGAAGAAGAAGAGGAAGAAGAAAGAAGAAGAAGAAGAAGAAGAAGAAGAAGAAGAAGAAGAAGAAGAAGAAGAAGAAGAAGAAGAAGAAGAAGAAGAAGAAGAAGAAGAAGAAAAAAAAAGAAGAAGAAGTGTTTATTTGGACATAATTCATTTTAAAACATCTTTTAAAACTGCACAATGAGATTCTTCCAGCACGTATGTCAGCATAGATTTCTCGTTTATGGTGAATGCTTACATGCATTCTTTTGTTTGTTATGATTCTGCATAAACAAAATGAGCTGCATGATTTTAGCCATGTTCGCGTGTTTATGGCATAACTTGAGTGTGTACGAAACAGCGTCCGTACTGTGTGGTTACAAGGTAATCAAATGGCAAATATCACTCATGTGGGCCTAGGGACCAGGTTTAAAAGAAGAAGGAAAATATATCCATTGAACGTCTAGTGAGTTTCTTACTACCGAAAGACTTAATGCCTAGGAAAAAAGAACTAAGAGGGAGAAGAAAATAAATAGATTAGTACCAGGGGCGCAGAAACCTGGAGGCTTATGCCACTTAAGCCCCCGTCCCCCGAAAATGTTTAGTCGAAGACTACACACACACACACACACACACACACACACAAAAACTCAGACTAAACTAAAGCAATTTTCCATTCAGCACAAAATTATTATTATTATTATTATTATTATTATTATTATTATTATTATTATTATTATTATTATTATCATTATTTTTAAACTGACTCGCATAGATAACTGTAGTCGAAGACTAAAAAAAAAAAAAAAACTCAGACTAAACTAAAGCAAAGAAAAGAGGCACAGAGGAACAAGGGACAAATCTAGCACACAAGTCAGTTCATGTTAAAGACTAATTAATCATCGGGAATATCCACAGTAATGCGATCTAACACAACCAGGAACGCCTGTCTGTCTGCTTCAGGTATTAATATTCACCAAAGCCATGTCAACAGTATCAGGTGTTAGCAAGTATAGGCTGGCGTTCTTGATGCAAAGTCCTGGTTATAAAGTATGAATTAACATGTTATAGACAGCAGTCGCGTTATCGATCTGTGTTATCTCTCTTTCTTCTGCTTCTTTTTTTTTTCCTCAGCGTTCACCGGCTGTAAATTCAGGCGGAAAGTTCTGGTTATTTGTCCACTTCTAGAATTTAATCTTGTTCAAGAACTTAAGTTTTGCCTGCACATCAGCTTATTTGTATGCAGACTGTTGGTTTCTTACCTCACTGGTAGAAGCAGTCCGACTTCGAAGGAAACCCATAATTAGGTGA